AATAGTCCTGAACAATATATACATTATAATTGGATAGCGTTTATCGAAAAGGAACCAAGCGCAAAAAACTTTTTCTGGGGTGAACAAAATTATTTGCAAAATAACTCATTTTTAATGCTGCTCAAAAAATTAATAATGATTTGGGAACCTTCTTAACCCTTTTGAGAAAAGTTCCAAATGATAATTAACCTTTTGAGCATTATTAAATATGAGTTATTATACAAATAATTTTACTAAGCTTTTGGCACTTGGTTCCTTTTCGATAAGCGTTATCCAATTATTATTACGCCACTACAAGTATTAACGTCCAGTGGCTTTAACATCGGCAAATTTACGCGTGAGAGTGAGAGTCGTGCGAAATTTTGCTGAACAAATATTTAGTAAATAAAGTGGTATAAGATAAGAAAAAATATTGTGAAACATAAGTTAATGGTGTATAAACATTGTGTGAATAGAGTAGTTCAAAAATTCGCTAAAAGACATTATATTTTTCGAAAATAAACAATTTGTGCAGAGCAGTACTTAAAAAATTGTTCTTTAAAAATGAATTGTGCTTACTGTACCAAGAAGCTTGTTCATAATCAAGTACAAGTTCAGTGCAATAATTGCGAAGAATGGGTCCATCAAAAATGCACCACCCTAAGTAAAAATGAAATTAAAGATATACAAAAAAAGAAGATAATATGGAAATGTGAAGAATGTGATGAAGAGGGTAGAGATACTGAAAACGAAGATAGTGATAATGAAGAATCAGATGAATCTGAGGATGATGGTAGTCAGACAAAGAAGAAATCACCAACCAAATCAAAGATCTCGCCTAAAGCAAAGGTAAAAAATCAAACTAAAAATAAGATATCACTGGAAGATTTATTTGAAAAAATCAATTATGTTATCGACCAAAATGATAAACTACATAAAAAAATTGATGCTCAAGAAAAAGAAAGCAAGGAATTAAAAAAAGATATAAAAAAACTAAAGGAAGAACATCAATTATTAAAAAAAGAAGTATATCATCTAAAAAATAACAAAAATACAAATGAGCAAGATAAATTAAAAAATAATCTAATGATATCTGGTTTATCCCTGGCAGAAAATAGTGAAAATGAACTAAAGGAAACTGTAGTAAAAATTGGAAAGAAGATGAAGGTAAATGTGCAAGAAGAAGAAATTACATGTGCTATTGTTGGAAAGGAAAAAAAGCAACTTAAAGTAACGTTTAGTAACTATGAAACTAAAGAAAAAATTATGAAAGCAAAAAAAGATCAGACCCTAAAAGCAAATGAACTTGGATTTGAACAAGACCATATAATCTTTTTAAACCATGATCTAACTGTTGATAATCAAAAATTACTGAAAAAGGCAAGGGAAGCTAAAGTACAGCTAAAATATAAATTTGCTTGGTACTCAAATGGTAAAATTTTTCTAAGAAAAACTGAAAATAGTAAAATAGTACATATTTCATCAGAAGATATCTTAGAAGACTTAATTAATAAAAAAGGAAAATAACTAAAATTGGCTGTTAATCTTGGAGTAAATAATACAATATCTATCATATATTCAAATATAAGGTCAATTAAAACTAAAAATAAGTTAGAAAATATTCACTATTATATACATGAACATAAAAACCCGGAGCTAATTTTACTAACTGAAACATGGCTACTTGAAAATGAAATTAAGTATTTTAATATAAAGGGGTATATAGGGGTTCACAATTGTAGAAATACTAGAGGAGGTGGAGTAGCAATTTATATAAGAGAAAATGTACAGTTTGAAAGCGTAAATACAGATAATATAAAAAAATGTAATATAGTTGGAGTAAATTTAACAAATTTTAAATATAAAATATTTTGTGTTTATAGATCCCCAGAAAATAAACTTAATACGTTCCTGTCACTAACAAATAAAATTCTTGAGAAAAACAAAAACTGTATTATAATTGGTGATAAAAACATTGACATTTTAAAGGACAACTGTAAAACAAAAAAATACAAAGAAATCATTGAATTAAACTCATATGAAATAAAAAATTTACATTCAAATAAAAACAAAATAACACGCAGAAATTTAAAAACAAACTATGGTACTTTAATTGATCATGTAATTGCACCTATAAATGTTACCTCCTGTATCAAAACTAAAGATACATCCATATCTGATCACAAAATGCTATGCATCAAACTTACATTACCAGGAGCAGTAAAAATTAATAGTAAATCAAAAAAACAAATATTAATAACAGACTACGAAAAATTTAAAAAAATACTAAATGAAAATCTAAAGTCAAATACAAATATTTTTGATGAACTTATAAACATAATTAAGCAAGCTAAAATGCAAAGTACTAGTGCTAAAGACATAAAAATTTATAAAAAGCCTTGGTTCAATGCAAAAATAAGTAAAAAAATCAAAAAAAGGGACAAGTACTACAGAAAATGGAAAAAAAATCCTCTAAGCAGATACTACAAAAATGAATTCAAAACCTTAAAAAACATGGTAAATAAAATGATAAAAAAATCAAAAATATCTTATTACACACAAAAATTTTTGTCAACAGGAAGTAATGTGAAAAAAATATGGAAAACTATAGATGAAATAATTAATATAAAACCTAGAAAAACAAATAATAAGATAGATAGATTAAAATACAAAAATAAAGAATACACTGAGAGTAAAGAAATAGCTAATATCTATAATAAATTCTGTACTGAAGTTGCTAAAGAACTGCAAAAAGATATAATAATAGCTGATATAAAATTTGAAGAAGTTACAAATAATAAAACTATTTTTATGTCCCCTTGTACACTGAGTGAATTAGGAAAAGTTATCGCATCTTTGAACTCTAGTAACTCCTCAGGTGATGATAACATTACTACTAAAGATATTAAAGAGATTTATCCTAACATAAAAGAAACCTTACTCAGATGTATAAATAACTGCTTTAAGACTGGCAATTTTCCTGAAAAATGTAAAATATCTAAGGTTCTTCCTATATACAAAAAAGGTAGTAAAGAAGATCCAGGAAACTACCGTCCAATATCTATTACTTCAATTTTCTCTAAAATTATTGAAAAGTTAATAAAAATAAGATTTATAAACTTCTTTGAAATATCATCTAAACAGTATGGCTTCCAGGAAAACAGCTCCACACAAAGTGCCACTATGGATCTAATAGAACAAATCTTTAAAAAACTAGAAGAAAAACTAAAAGTTATAGTAGTTTTTGTCGATCTGAAAAAAGCGTTTGATACAGTAAAATTAGAGTTACTTTTAAAAAAATTAGAAAAGAATGGTATTCAAGGTCCAGCTATATTGCTTATGAAAACTTACCTCCATGACAGAAAACAGTATACAAGCACTAATAACTGCATCAGTGACCCATTAAAAGTGGAGACAGGCGTACCTCAGGGATCAGTGTTAGGCCCTATACTGTATCTATTATATGTAGAAAGCCTAACAAAAGCTGGTTTACTAGGAGAACACTACATGTTTGCAGACGATACAGCACTTTTGTACTATCATGAGGATATGAAAACAATAGAAAACATCATTAATAAAGACTTAAAAAAGTTTTATAATTGGCTTTGTTCAAATGGATTAATAGTGAATGAAATAAAAACTGTATATATGCAGTTTAGCTTAAAGAATAAAAACAACCCAAAAGTGAATCTTAAAATAAACAATGTACCCATTCAAAAAGTGACTTTCTATAAATACCTTGGATTAACAATTGATCAAAACTTGACTTTCAATGAACATATTGGTGAAATATATAACAAACTTAGTGGCTTAGTTGGTGCGCTTAGACGTGTAAATGAATATTTGACGGAGAGTTGCAGATTCCTTATATATAACTCATATATTAAATCAGTCTTAAGTTATCTCATAGCAATATGGTCAAATACATCCCAACGAAATCTAAACCGAATGCAAAGACTGCAAAATAAAGCGCTAAAAGCAATTTTTAATCTACCGTATGATACACCAACTAAAGACCTTTATAAAATAATTCCGGTAATGAATATTAAACAGTTAATTAGTTTCGAATTGTGCAAATTAGTATATAAGATAAAAAACAAAGACATTAAAACAAGTGCAAGCTTGAACATAAACTCGGATTTTCACAACTATGAAACTAGAGGAGCACAAAACCTCAGAACAGTCAGAGTTAGGACCAAAAAGGCTTCTGGATCAACAATACAACAGGGTGTTAAAATCTTCAATGATCTACCAAACTCCATTAAATCCTTGGATAAATATGAAAAATTTATAAAAACATTGAAAAAGTACATCAAGGACAATTTATAATTATTATACTGTTATTCAATTTATAAATCTATTTTTTCTTTATTGTAATGATTACTCTACGTTAACAGCTATTACAAGTTGATTTGTAGTTTCAATTTAATAAATAAAAATAAAAAATAAATACCCATTCACCATGGGAGTCCAATGATTGGACAACATTCACGTGTGTTCATATAAAATTTTAATTTCTTTTATATAAATTCTTTTCAAAGCGAAGACTATTATCCGCTGGGAATACTTTGTCTCTCCCGGGCCGTAGTCACCTATATTTAGCTACTTATCATTTTACTCAACTACGCACCACCAAAGCCAAATTAGTTGCATTTTTAAATACCTTAAATTTTGACAACTCAACTTGACAATTGTTTAATGTAACCTACAATAATTTAAACATAACCACAATTACATTATAATTAAATTTATAACTAGTTTATTGTGTTTTAATCAATGCAACCAATTTTGGTTCCGTATTTACCAATCAAACCCCTAAATTTGTCAGGTTGCTGATAAAAAAATGAACTTTAGATAATTTTATCCTTTTCGAGACAATGTATATAATATAGTAATGGAGTACCTACTAATTTTTAAAGATAGTAGTGTTAACTTTGTTACTTGTTAATTTTTGGCCAATTTTAAAATTTAAAATGGTAGATTATTTTTTTCACTCTTGCAAATTTTTAATATGCACTTACTTTATTGGTCAGCATCAAGCAAGCCAGGACACCTAGACTCCACCAATCGACTGCGTGTCCATATGGCTTCAAAGTTAGGACTTCAGGAGCTGCAACAGAAGAAAAACTTACCTGTATTCGCATTAAATCCACAACAGGAGGAAAATATTATGAATAAAAACCAAATAAAATAAATAAAGTCTTTATTTATGACTTAAAATCACAACAATTATATATTAACTAAACTATTCACAAGTATATACAAATTCATATTTATTTAATGTAACCTTAGTTTATTAAATAATTCAAAATTAATTTCATTGAACTGCCTAATATATAAATTAATTAATCCATAATAATTAAAAAAAACAGCAAATTTTTAATAATTATTCACTCACATACTAAAAACATTTATACATTTATATTATAAAAATTTGCTGTTTATATTCTTCAAACACATTGCACTATTAGACTTGAAAATTATTATATTATTATGTACTCTATCTGTGATTCATGTGAAATTATCGCTTTTTTAACTATAGAGGGTGTCCGACCTAACAAAACACAGATTAAACCCAATGACATTAAAAAAAATTACGGCACAAAAATGAGAGCAATAAACAATTTTATTACAATTGTTTTGGGAATGTAATTTTGATGAAAAAATCCGCGAGTGCCTTATATTCATAGTTAAAATACAAAATACCCAAAAATCGCATACCATTTATATACAAATTCTTCTAGTAGAATATATCATCGAAATAAAAAATTATATCACAAATAAAATCGTTTGAAATATCATTGAAACCGCAAGCGAAAAAACAACTTCGCTACTACTCAAGACAATCTTGGTTATTATTTTTTAACCATCCTGTATATTAGGCAACATCTTCCATATTTTTTTTAATATTTAATACACCTAGGAACTTTTACCAGCTCATATTAATACCGGAAACCATACGAATATAAAACCAAAAATTATATACATTTTTTTTCGATTAATTTTTTTATTATTACACTCACTCAAATTACACCTCAATGGAAGTTATTTTTTCGATTGCGATTAAATTGTCAATAAAATAAAACATTTTGTCATAAAAACGACGATAAAATCAAGCATAGATTTTTTGTTTTTGTTTTATTTTTGTACTTCAGGCGTTTTATTTATTTTTTAATAATAATTAGAGAAATTTTGTTTCAAATATATTCCAGCTTATATGGGGGAAATATAAAAACTAATCTACCTGAGATAAGGAAGTAAAAAATCATAAATATAACAAAGCGCTGCTTTGCATTAAAACCAAAATAATTTTGTGATTTTTTTCGAAATATTTTATGTAAAATAATAAAAAAAGAACACACTTCAATCACTGGTTCATGGTCGAAATTTCAAACGCTAACTAAGGAACCTAAACGATTATAACTAATAAAAAACTGAACGAAAAAACGAAAAATTTAATACAATTTTTCTAGATAAAATGAGACAAAATCGATTTAGAAATGGTACTAAAACCAAAACTACAATAAATTAAATATTGTGGACCCATTTTAGTCATTGATGTATAAAATTGTGAAAATTAACTCCCAACCCAATTTCACAAGCAATAATTTCAAAAAATTCATTTTGGAGAGTTCTTCTTTACATTTAACTACAGTATCAAGAAGTCCCACAAGGATCCTTACTTGGACCCATTAAACTCATGATTATAGTTAATGATGTGTAAAAGTGTCGAATATGAGAGAAAACTTGGATATTTTACTTAAAATTTAGAAAAATTTACTTCTAACCCAACATTTTCCATTTTATCTACAAAGTGTGTATACTGGTATGGTTTATTTTTATTTGAAGAGCAAAAGATCGGTTAATTAGAGTAATGTTGGGTAATAACAAACCTATTAAAATGAAATTTATAAATTGTAAAATTGTAAAACTAAAAACCTTTCAAAACAAAAAATCGTTACAACTTCCTTATTCCTGTTTTGAAAAGAAGTTTCACATCCAATTTCTTCATTAATATATTTTAAGTTACCATCACCATCTTTTGTCTTTATTATGGCCGTCATAACTTATGTAGTTTGAAGCATCGTTTGATTCCTTGATCTAACCACATAAAATTTCAATATGGCGGCCACGGGAAAAATTGAGCCGGCGAAAAAAACGCCTTTTTCAACAAAAATATTTAATTATAAAATACCAGTGGTGGTAACTCAAAATCTAGCGAAAAAATAACAATTAGATGAAAATGTAGATTAAAATTCACAAGAATAACAATTTTTGGTTTTGAATGGGGTTTTAAAATTTCCGGAAAAATTGAGCCGGCAGAAAAAAACCGTTTTTTTCCTGAAAGAATGGGAAATTTTCAGAAAAATTGACTTTCTCATTTTATTCAAAGGGTAATACGAATAAATGATAAATTCATTTTTTTTTTAATTTCCAAATATCTGTACCTACACTGACTGATATCAAGAAAAAAGTGAATTTTTGACTCTGATTATAATCTATCATTTTATTTGACACATAAATTTATAAAATTATAATTTTGTAATTGAAATTTATAAATCATTCAATATTTTGTAAATGCATATTTCCCTTTTGCAAAAAGAACCCAACCGTATGAAACGCCGTTTTACTATTTAATAAAATGCAACATAGTTTTGGCAATTATCGTATATATATTAGAAGGTGTCGCTAATACTTTTGTAGACTTGCAGGTTATTGTATAAATAGTAATTGCAACACTCGCGTGTTGAAAAACCTTATTAATTAAAAGAATTTAAACATCAAAATACTTTTTTCAATTGCCATAGATTGCAAAAACTCACTTTGTTATTGTAAAGGTTTAAGCGATTGTGCTTTATGGAAAAAAGTATAGGTTTTATGGAGAGAAGTTAAATATTATACATAGTTCGGCAATTATCATATATTGCAAAAACTCAAAGAGTTTTGGCAATTATCATATGTTGCAAAAACCCAAATAGTTGTATTTACATTAAAATATGTCACGAATAGTTTTGGAGATTTGCAGATATTGTATATACTTATTGCATCACTTAAAAATCTTAAACTTTACTTAAAATACAAGTATTGCATTCGACTTTTGGCAATATAAGAATGTTGTAAAAAGTATGGCAGACCTGTCTAGGGTAAACAAAAAACACTAGATTTAAGGATTTTAAGGTTTCATCTCTGTATTTTTGTATTTTTCAATGATTTTAAAACCCTTCAGGTATTATAGGTTAGTATCCAACCATAGAACGTCTATTCCCGCCAACGGTTGGCCAACCTGCCACGCACTGCACCGTCTTACCAGAGACAACACCTTAAAATCCTTAAATCTAGTGTTTTTTGTTTTCCCTAGACAGGTTAGCCATACTTTTTACAACATTTGTATATTGCCAAAAGTCGAATGCAATATTTGTATTTTAAGTATTTATACTTTTATCTGCTAGTCTCCAAAACTATTAGTGACGTCTTTTAATGTAAATACAACTCTTCGGGTTTTTGCAATATATGATAATTGCCAAAACTATGTATAATATTTAACTTTTCTCCATAAAGCCGGATTTATAGTTCTAAAAAGTAGTAGTAGCAGTAGCAGTAAGCCAGTGTTACCAATATAATAATAAAATAAAATGTCTTCATAAATGTCTGCAATGTGATAGGCTGGAGTAGGAGTAGCAGCAAGAAAAGTTAAAACTTGGCCATCTCTTACGCCAACGACCTTGGTTGCTACTGAACGCTACTCCAGCCATTCACATTGCAGCATTTATATTATTATATTGGCAACACTGCCTTACTGCTACTCCTACTTTTTAGAACTATAAATCCGGCTTAAAAGCTTTCCTTTTTTCCATAAAGCACAATTGCATAAAACTGCAATTACAAAGTGAGCTTTTGCAATCTATGACAATTGCAAAAAGTATTCTGACTTTTATATTCTTTTAATTAATAAGGTTTTTTAACACACTATTGTTGCAATAACTATTTATACAATAACCTGCAAGTCTACAAAAGTATTAAGCCGGATATCTTTTTACAATATACGATAATTGCCAAAACTATATATAATATATAACTTTTCTCCATAAAAGCTTTACTTTTTTCCATATAGCACAATTGCAAGTTATTAAATAGTTTGTAAACGTTTCATAACTATTAAAGATAAAATAAATATCAAATTGTCGCGAGCTGTTTTACTATTTAACATAACAATTTGCGCCATGCTATTAAATAGTAATTTATTAATAGTTATTTTCTGAAATCAATTCAATGTTTAGTTTTATTCGTTTGTTTTTCTGTAATAAATTTAATATTATTTCTATTGATTTGTATATTTACAGGAAAAAATCGCAACGCAACTTTTGTCTAGTTTAACCAACCTTGTAGCTCTTCAAATAAAAAAGTTACTCATATATGTAGAAGTATACTTAGTATGGGAAAAGGTTCCATAAGGATCTTAAGATGTATCTTCAGTACCATTTTTAAATCGTTTTGCACCGAAAAAAACTCAACGAAAAACGCATCTAAAACGAAAAGTGATTGCTGATGAGATTCTTGACGGTGGTGCCAACCGAAGAGCTAGCGGACGGACCGGCCAAATTATAGTTAATCTTGAACAAGTACGGTTGCACGTCGAAGTACGACGTGTCGAAAATGTAATCGAGCTCCGTTTGGTTGGGCATTTTGGGCAAATAATCGCCGCGATTCATTACGTCGGCGATGTAGAGGATCTTCTCGCCTATCAATTCGCTGACCTTCTCCCGGCACAGCTGCCTTTCGCCCTCGTTGCTCAGGCTGATTAGCTCCAAGCGGATCGTCCAGATCTCCCAGGAGATGCACTCGGGCGCGAACCACGCCCTCGGCTTCTTCTGGAAGAACTCCAGACTTATCTGGCCGTTGCCCGAACAATCGCTGTTACGAAGCCGCTCGGAGAAACCGTTGATCTCCCTTTTTATCGTTCTATCCAGAGTCTCGGAGGAGCAACACACGTAAGTTAAATCGATAAAGTCGCAATCTACGTCCATGTAACCGACCGTACCCACCGAATACGACTCGTCGCCGGTGTACATGAACTTCCCCAAGGATCTGTGGAATAAAATCGTGTGGAACAGACTCGTTACCACCTCGTCCGCTTGCCTCCCTTCAACGGAAAGCTCGAAAGTCTGCGACCGCGCGTTCATGTTATTCAAATCGCGATAACTATCGATTAACTTATTGTAGCATACCCATGTATTTGAGGGTGCCGCAAAGCGTTTTGGTCGCGTTCCCGTACTTCAGCCACTTGGACAGTCCGAAGTCGATTAGTTGCGCGTTCCCGTCCCCGTCCAGCAAAACGTTTTCCGGCTTTAAGTCTCGATAGATGACGCCCGCGTTGTGGAGAAAGTCTGCAATGAGAACGAAAGTCTTCAACGGTATTTTTGTCGTTTTTTTTTACTTTTACTTACCAATAGCCAATGCTATCTGAGCGACATACAACTTTACTAGTTCGATGGGAAAGGTCACGTAAGCCTTCAAAAGGTCGTACAGCTCCCCACCTTTCACGAAATCACTTACTGCAACAAAAAATAATTACTGATACTTGAAAAAGGACAACTTTGGTGATATGTTATAGTCGCGGCCAAATCTGCATGGGTGCACGTCATCAACGGCATATGACGTCAGCGTTAAGGTCTATTCATACCAGAGTTGCAAAAATGTTAATGTAAAAAATAATGCAATCGTCATTTTTTTAATGGTAATGTAGTTTAAATATATTTATCATTAAAAAAAATTTGTATTACAGCCATTCCACGTTACTCGGGAATTTTTGTAGCGTCCGTTACAATCAAAAACTACCGTAATTATGATGCTTATAAGCTTAAGCCTAATTATTACAAGGATAATAAACATGTTTGCAATATTTTCATCACACATTAAAAAATTGTCGAACAATACATTACTCATAAAAAAATAAAAAATGTGACGAAAGACATTACCCATTACATCAGTGAAAATGATCAAGGGTAGGGTTGATGGGGTGATTTTATATATGGGGCATTTTACACCAAGTCTGACAGTTTGAAAAATGTTGATTTTTGATTTCTTTTATTTTTCGATTTTTAAGTACCTCGTTCAAAAAATATCAAATTTTTAAAACAATCGCTTTTATTGTTTTTTTTACTGCTAATTTCTTTAATAATTATAATGGTCCGAATTGAAATTTTTATTACTTAAAATTTTCGTGTATCAAAATTATCCAAAGCATATTTGCATGCGAATTTTGAGTTTTAAAATTTTAATCTGTATTCTTCGATTTCCTTGCAAATTTTTACGTTAAACTTTTACCCACTAGAGAAATTTCAAGCCGGGGTTGATAGTGGGAAGGCGACCTAAACTAAAAAAGTATCGAATCCGCGATGGTATAAACGAATAATTAATTTTGAACGTCTGTTACTGGTAAAAAAACAATTCACAACAGATATTGAAAAAAATTTTCATGGAATAGAAATATCTTCCATGCTCACTAAAAATGAGTAATTCGATAATCATTTATTTCTCATTAAAAATAAAAAAATGAGTAATGTAAAGTGAGTACATTACAACATAAAAAATTGGAATTGAAAATTTCAAAATACTCATTACAAACTAAAAATCAGTAATGTAAAAAAGAATGCATTACTCATTGGAAAAAATGTAATAAGTAATTAACTTAATTTTCATTAAAAAGTAAGTAATGCATAATGACAATGAATGTCCCGGACAACATTCGTGATATTCATACGAACATCACGTCGTGATTTTCACAAATTTTATTCATACTGATATCATACGGAAGTCACCGCGTGATAAATAAAAATCATACGAACGTCACGTCGTGATTTTCACAAATTTTATTCATACGGACATCATCCGGATGTCACTGCGTGAGAAATAAAAATCATGTCGTGATTTTTTATGCCATCGCTGTTTGCGATTGACCGATGGCACAAAAAATCATGTCGTGATTTTTTATGCCAACGGTGTTTGGATAATCATTTTTGCGCTACGTTCGTACACTAAGAGAAAAATTATGTTGAATCAACAGTTTTTGCGGTTAAATACATTTATTATTTTCTTGAATTTAAATTAACTATTTATAGTTAATTTAAATCCAAGAAAATATTGAATGTTAAACTGTTAATTCAATTGTTAACATACTTTTTCTTTCAATGTACGAATGTGTCGCAAAAATGAATATCCAAACACCGATGGCATAAAAAATCATGTCGTGATTTTTTATGACCAAACACCGATGGCATAAAAAATCATGTCGTGATTTTTTATGCCATCGGTGTTTGGATATTTATTTTTGCGCCACATTCGTACGCTGAGAGAAAAAGTATACCTACATATATATTGAATCAACAGTTTTTGTGGTTAAATAAAAACATTCAATATTTTTTTGGATTTAAATTAATAGTTAATTTACATTCAAGAAAATATTGAATGTATTTAACCGCAAAAGCTGTTAATTCAATTGTTAACATACATTTTCTCACAATGTACGAATGTGGCGCAAAAATAAACATCCAAACATGTCCGATGGCATAAAAAATCATGTCGTGATTTTTTATGCCATCGGTGTTTGGATATTTATTTTTGCGCCACATTCGTACATTGAATAAATATACCTACATATAATATTATATTGAATCAACAGTTTTTGTGGTTAAATACATTCAATATTTTTTTGGATTTAAATTAATACTTAATTTACATCCAAGAAAATATTAAATATATTTAACCGCAAAAACTGTTAATTCAATTGTTAACATACATTTTCTCACAATGTACGAATGTGGCACAAAAATAAACATCCAAACATGTCCGATGGCATAAAAAATCATGTCGTGATTTTTTATGCCCAAGCACCGATAGCATAAAAAATCATATCGTGATTTTTTATGCCATCCGGGTTTGGATATTTATTTTTGCGCCACATTCGTAAATTGAGGGAAAAAGTATACCTACATATAATATATATTGAATCAACAGTTTTTGTGGTTAAATACATTCAATATTTTTTTGGATTTAAATTAATATATATAGTTAATTTACATCCAAGAAAATATTAAATGTATTTCACCGCAAAAACTGTTAATTCAATTGTTAACATACATTTTCTCACAATGTACGAATGTGGCACAAAAATAAACATCCAAACATGTCCGATGGCATAAAAAATCATGTCGTGATTTTTTATGCCATCCGGGTTTGGATATTTATTTTTGCGACACATTCGTACGTTGAGAGAAAAAGTATACCTACATACTCGTATATATTGAATCAAGAGTTTTTGTGGTTAAATAAAAACATTAAATATTTTTTTGGATTTAAATTAATAGTTAATTTACATTCAAGAAAATATTGAATGTATTTAACCGCAAAAACTGTTGATTCAACATAACTTTTCTCTTAGTGTACGAACGTGGCGCAAAAATGATAATCAAAACACCGTTGGCATAAAAAATCACGACATGATTTTTTATGCTATCGGTCAAAAAATCACGACATGATGTTCGTATGAATATCACGAATGTTGTCCTTTTTTAATTGAATTCAATTAAAAAAGGACAACATTCGTGATATTCATACGAACATCATGTCGTGATTTTTTGACCGATAGCATAAAAAATCATGTCGTGATTTTTTATGCCAACGGTGTTTTGATTATCATTTTTGCGCCACGTTCGTACACTAAGAGAAAAGTTATGTTGAATCAACAGGTAACAAACTAGGTTTTAAATTCGCAGTTCGCAGGGCTATTACGCATGCGCAAATTTTGCAAATATCACACCGTGAGTTCTACATGATATCACTGTGATGAAGCATGTGTATGCACTCAGGATATCACGGCGTGATAAAAAAAATCACGTTGTGATATCATCATGATTTCACCAGGAAATCCCGATTGTTGTCCGGGGTATTAATGCATTAAAAAAATAATGCATTATTTGCAACTCTAATTCATACGTGCCCAGTCAAAATCTAACTGTTTATTGCTGCTGGAGCTGTTTATTAAGATTAAAATATATATTTGTTATGGGCAAATTTTGATCAAATGTGTTTAGAGGGGAAACAAACGGAGTTTATTACATTTTTATTACATATGTACTATGCTCCACACCTCAAAGTCCCACCACGTGACCACGTACGGAACGCAGTCTTTTGAAAATTTGGCATTTAAGGCTTTTCAGGTTATGTATCTGTCAAAGTCAATGAAAAAAATAATATTTATAGTGTTACCGCTTATGTTTAAGCGTTAAAAGTTAATAAATCTTTATAGTATCACAATAACAATGGCTGGTTTAAGAATTTAGGAATATAAATACTGCATTTAATGAAATTCCAAAGTGTAAGGTGCAATATAAGTGATATTTTTGTGCATTGGGTCTACATTTCTCCATAAAATAATTTTAACTAAACAGCATTTATTAAAAAAATCTAACTTCTCTATTATGAAATAAGAATATCTGTATCAAAGGTAGGTTAATGTATTAGAACAAAAAATATCACCTAATTTTTTGTATTTTAAGGTTAGAAAAATCTATTTTGACCAAAATAAATAAGTGGATTATTTGGAAGAGTGTGTTAATATGGTCATAAATAAATATAGGTATACTAAATAATTGTTGAATATGCAAATTAAATTGAAGCTTTTATACTTCTAATGACAAAACTTGTGCATACCTCTCGGCATACCTACTTTAAGTTAGGTTATAAGAAAACAAACAATTTTTAGAGAAACTTGCAATGTGAAAATATTTAATATTCCCATGACATGTGATTTATTAAAATTTTTAAAGTTATAATGATTTTTTGATGGAGATCAAATTCAGTCGAAGCTTTTTAACTATTTGTATTGATAAAACTTTATGTAGGTACACTTTAAGCTGAATAAGAAAAACTACCACATTTTTAAATACCATATTATACAGTCTTTTAAATAATCCAAAATACTTATTTATTTTGGTCAAAATAAATTTTTTTAACCTTAAAATTACAAAATTAGATGATATTTTTGTAATAATATATTAACCTGCCTTTAATACAGATATTTTTATTCCATAATAGAGAAGCTAGATTTTTTTAAATAAATGCTGTTTAGTTAAAATTATTTTATGGAGAAAACCAGATATTTGGACCAAATGCACAAAAATATTACTTATTTGGCACCATACACTTTAGAATGTCATTAAATGCAGTATTTATATTCTTAAATTCTTAAACCATCCATTGTTATTCTAATGTTATAAAGATTTATACATTTTTAACGCCTAAACATAATATTATTTCTTTCGTTGACTATACTTTGACAGATACATAACCTAAAAAGCCTTAAATGCCAAATTTTCAAAAGACTGCGTTCCGTACCTGGTCACGTGGTGGGACTTTGAGGTGTGGAGCATAGTACATAACAAAATAGTATATTATGTATCAAGTTTGATAAACACCCTTTTATATACGAATTTAATTTAGATTTAAATTAATGAGTGTATAGAAAAGTTTATAAACAAGGTGCATACTATACTTTTTCTACGACAAATACTTATTATTATCTTAAAATTATTTAAATCAAAAAATTGTATAGAGCGCCATCTATAAAATAATAGGGGAATCTGGGGGAACCGTCAAATGTCAATTTTTTTTTTATTTTATAAACACAGATTACCTATAAATGTTATAAATCGAAATGTATTTCTTGAAAATTAACAGTTTTTCACAGTGAAAGTAAAGAAAAATACTAAACTACCAGAAACACAAAAATACTAAATTACCAGTCGTATTTGTCGTCAGAGCGAATCAGGTCAAACTTGTAGTCTGATTATTTCCTCAAATTTATTATTAAGGGCGCAATGTCTTCGCAATCTAATAACTGTTGGTGTTGCCAACAAGACTTGTAACATTGTTTGCACAATCCAGTGGTAGAATATTATTAACATTATTTATAATAATCTGCTACAAACGATGCTCACGGACGAAATGTCAAAATGACAAAAAAAACGTCAAGTATAAAATGACGCTGAACCATCAATAATATTGAACGGTGCGCGCACGCCTTAAGCTATTACCAACTGGCACACACAAAAATCTCTAAGTGAATGGTTTTATTTTTATAATTTCGTAAAAAAACGTTTTAAAACAGGAAAATTGTTAGTTCTTGGTAAACAATACTCAAATGAATCATATTTATTTTATAACACATCAGAATTACGCCTTAAAAAAGCAAATTTAACGGCAGTAACTTTACAATTCAAAGTTGGTAATGCTGTAGTCATTATATCGCATTGATGACGTGCACCCATGCAGATTTGACCGCGACTATAAACAAATATTTCTAATATTTGTTTATAATTACTGATAATTACACAAAGTAATTAATTCACACACTCACCAATATACAAACGCTTCCTGCTCTGCCAATGCAGCGGACAGTTCACTATAAAGGGGTGGTGACCGCAGACTCTTTGGATTTGAACTTCGTCTTTTACTTGTTGCACAGAGTTGTCTTTTATTACCTAAAATGAGCCCTTTTACTGAAATATGTTCAATCTAAAAAATAAAGACTTACTTTGGACTTGGAAAGGACTTTCAAAGCAAATATTTTGTCCTGCTCCTTGTCATTGACCTTGTAAACTTTTCCGAACGCCCCCTGTCTTATTTCTTCGAGAACTTGGAAACGTTGCTCGTTGCGCGAATCTGTCACCGGAAATTCCGGTAAAAACGACGATTCCAGTTGCGATACGGGCCAAGCAGTTTTGCTGGACTCGTACGGTAGGGTTAGAGTGGACTCTTTCCACCTTAAAAAAATGCCGATGTTAAGTACCTAATCATCGCAATAACAGTAAAATATTCCTCAACTATGTTAAACGATAAAAATATAACTTTGAAAAAGTTACTTTTAACGTTCTAAAGACTAAAAATAATTTATAATAACCTTTATCCTACCAAAAAGTACGCCGCTGATCGACTAGGAACTTTATAAAGTTATATAGGTTAATCTGGTTGCCCAATTTAATTTATTATGTTATGGTTACTAACAACCAGCGTTTCCAGATTCTGTCAAAAAAGTTGCCAAATTTTGTTTAAATTTACCTTCATTACAAAAATTCAAACAAAATCTGGCAACTTTTATGACAGAATCTAGTGCATTTCTTTCAAATTTTAGGTTATGTGCTCAAATTGTAAATATATTAACTAAGGGAAGTGCTTTTGGATTTATGTATTTACACAAATTGAATGTTTAAAGTTTAACCTGTGAACTTGTCCCAATTTCATCTGAGTAAACAGAAAGAAAAAACCATTAAAAAAATTAATTTTGTGGTTATGGAGTTTTTACTAAATTTTCTAATCATTGCTTAAGCTAATAGCTGGATAAGTAAATAAATACAGAAGGGCAGGGCCGGATTTAGGCATGGGCCCGGGCCCAGGGCGGCAAATTTTTAGGGGCGGCAAATTTTGAAGGCCTGTTAAAATTTTGCTAAAAAATCAAGAGCGTTTTATGCAGAATTTTTGTTTTCACTCAGATTTATACACTAATTAAAATTATAAAGAAGTTTTTTAATACATTAGATAATTTTATATCAGACTACACTATTATTCTGCGTAGTGCGTCACTGCGTAGAAGGGCGGCAGTCGATGTACACGAGGCGAATGGGGCGCGACTCTAGCTTATTCGCTGAGTCATTCGTTATTCGGGGTAATGATGCGTTGGGCCCATGGGCGGCAAATTCGTAAATCCGGCCCTGCAGAAGGGTATTAGAGCTTTAAGGGCATAATGCTTTTGAACTTGTTGAGTTTTTATTTATTTTTTGCAAAAAAAATTTTTAGTAACAATTTTTTACAACACAGAACACAAGTGTGTATCCAGTGGTGTATCACAAAAAATATAAAAAACTTATAATGCATATTTTTGCTTTATGTTTGGGAAATTATTTTTTTAATAGTACATTCTGTAACAAGTTTGGAATACAGCATATTCCGCTCGAGGAAAAATTTGACACACGAGCCGAAGGCGAGTGTGACGGTTTTACGAGAGTGGAATATGCTATTCCAAACGTGTTTCAGACATTATTTTCTCTACGACTACGTAAGAATAGTACGCTTATATAATTTTAAACAGAGAAAAGAAACCAAGCAGTTTTTGACATTTAAGTTTTTTGTATTGTCAAACCATTTTGTGCCGTCACAATTTTATAATGTAAATTATAATAAATTTAAACAAATGGTATGCCTAAATCTTTATTATAATTAAAAATAGTTATTTACACTAACTAATAAAAAAAATAACATTGTAACAAATACAAAACTAATTTTACAAGTAATCTGTCAACATCCATTCTTTTTCTACATTTTAAAGGTCTTTTTTTAAACTTTTTGAATCTGTCAAAACTTCAAAGCCGGTATAGTAGGTAACTGGTTTATCATTTTAATATCAAATTTATTATAATTTTGATTTGATTATTTGAAAAACAATAAATATAACTAATTTTTTGTGCCTAAACCTTAATTATACAACTGCTATTATTTTTTAATTAATAAATAATACAGTAATATTTAAATATTTTTAAATTTTTTACGTTTAGTAAACAGCCAGGAGATGTCGTTACTTGTGACCATTCTTAAACAAGAGTAGGAATATTCTCGCACAGTATTGCAGAAAAACATCCTTTCTATGATCAAAAATTACACTAGAATGTTACTATTCTTAAGTAGTCGTAGAGAAATATTTTTTTCTACTCCTATTACGGAATTTGACCCTTCTAATATCACTTTTATCTATGGAATGACATATATTCCGTAAAGTGTTACAGAATGAAATATTCTATCATCTGATGAGAGAATAAACACTCGTGGCGACATCTCTGTTTTTAATATCGAACAAATTTTAGACCGATCCAACCTCACTTTCTTCCAATTAAATTATTTTTCTATGGTATTTTTTGTAAACGTAGAAAAAGTATAGTCTGAAACACTTTTGGAATAGCATATTCCGCTCTCGTGAAACCGTCAAACTCGCCTTCGGCTCGTGTGACAAACTCTTCACTCGAGCGGAATATGCTGTATTCCAAACTTGTTACAGAATATACTATTCCGTTACACCTTATGTCGTATTCAGTATTTTAATATATTACATTAATTACTTTAATTACTTATTTTATTTTTTTAATATTTTGTCAAGGATATTTTTATCAAGCAAAAACTTTTATTAATAATGAAATTTTCTGCGAAATGTAAAATATTTTTTTCTTCTTTGTAACCTCATGCGTGAACATACAGTATAATGATAAACATTATAACCGCCCTGCCTAACAACGGAAATATTATTTATTATTCACGTTATTGGGCATCAGTGATTGGCCGATTTCAATGTTTACTGTGATTTGAACCAATCGGGTTTTAAATTGGGAGAAGGCGAGTATAATATTTATAATTGGTAGAAAGTGAGGTTAACCATCTGACAAATGTCAGATTTGATATATTTATTTTTGAAAATCATTTAAATATCAACTAATTGGAGTAAATTAAGCATAGTATTACACTCTATATTATGCGCATTATATCTCATATAATAATAAACTATTATCTACTCCCACACTGACAAGCCACAGTCTAATGGCGTTTCATTCTTGGGCTGTAGTTAGCTTTATTATAAATTGGTAAAAAGTGGGGTGAATTTATTTTAAATAAAACTGGCTTTAAATTCTTATTTGTGTTCGTCGTAGATTAAGTACTCAGATCTCTAGACACTCGTTTTTATTAAACACTGACTCGCAAGCTTCGCTCGTTTATAAAACTTGATTCCTACAAAATATACTAATACGTTGTTTTAATAATATTTAATCTGTTTTTGACATTTCAAAATGTACTTTTAAAAAAATTGTAAAAGTTAATAGCTTCAAAAATTTAATACTTAATTAAATTGTTAAATAAAAATAAAAAAAAGAAACTGATATCTAGTCAGGTTCAACAATTTTATAAGTAAATGATGAGTCAGTAAAAAAACACAAGATGGCAATAAATCCTTTCTTTTGAGAAGTGCAAAAAACATAATTATAATATACAGTGTGTATTAAAACGAATAGATACACTTAAATAAAACCCCGCCCACTGTGGTAGGGATTGAATTTGTATCATTGTCGTATGATCTGTGCGCAGTGTTGCCAGCGTCAGTACGTTGTACCGAATTCAGTACCTTCGAATTAAAAAAAGTAAGCAAGTACCTCGGTGATGGTTTTCGGTACGTTTTCCAGTTTTAGATTTTTTTCCCTTTATTTAAATAAAAATTAAAGAAAAAATTAAAAGTTTAGGTTGGTGATACTGAGTTATTTTAGTATCCTGGTATTTTAAGTTTTAAACTGTTGGTAGCGCGCGTTGTCTACTTAGTGTTGACATAAGGTTTGTTCCAAGTTCGCCAAGAATCGCTCATAGGAATAATAGGAATTATTGAAGCCAAATACCTCAATCTTTGTTAAAAAAGAAAATTAATTATCGATAGGTAGACTATTTTTTAATTTTACCAACAATATTGTTTTTTTGTATAGGTATAATAATAATTATCTATTTTGTTCTTTTGATGTTTATAGTTTATTTATGTGCATGTGCTTATTGATAAAGTACAAAATAAAATTAAGTTCATATAAGTTTAATATTTATTTTCAGTACGTTATCTTTTAAATTCAATAGGTTTTTATTGCCATTTCAGTACTTTAATTTTTCTACTACTGGCAACACTGTCTGTGCGTCAGTTTAAGAAGTGCACTGAGACTTTGCGTACGTCTTTGTAAGAATAAAAAAGTATTTTCTCAAATAAAATGGTTTTTACCCGTGAGGAAAAAATACCAAATTATGGTATGGCATCACACTGGTAGATCGTATCGCCAAATACAAACTTTATTTCAAAATATGTTTCAAAATAGGCCTTTACCCAGTGTAGCTACAATCCGCGGCATGCCGCGCTGTTGCCATATGCTATTATTGTTTCCTAAACGGGTTGTTTTTCTTATTTTTTAATATTAAAAGTAAGAAAATTAACTAAATCAAATTATTTTTGACATATTAATAATTGTTTTGTTATTTTTAAAGTTTCAAACAAATAAAATTGAACTATTTATTAAATAATTATAATCGTACTCTTCTGATTTAAAACAACCTGGCAACTATGGTTCGTAATTACGAATGGCTTGGTTTAAACCACGCCCAATTAAAGTTTGTTTCTTTTCCTCTGATCAGAATATAATTTGTCATCCTTGTCTCCAGCCTTACTTACTTGATTCTATACAGTCTGTATTGTATGTCCATAAAAATAACAAAAATGCTTTCATATCTTAAGTATGTAATATTTCCAACATTTCTTGGCACTTGATAAATAGCTTTTTAAATAGGTATACCTAATTAACAAAAAATCCATAATCAGCAACTTTTGCTTTCAAAATATATAGTATTTTAAAAATACTAAAATCATATTACAGTTTGTTTTTTTTTATTCTGCATTTGATACATTTGATTATGTTGGTATTGTATGCTAATATACTTGGTATTTTTAATATTTAAAATTGGTACCTACTCTTCTTTAATGCCACTTTGCAATTATTATATTATATTATACAGGGTGTCCGGGAAAAGGAGGTCAATCCGTTAACCATATATTCCTTGAGTTAAAACAATAAGACTTTCATAATACCATTTTTCAATTTAGAGCTTCATGTTCGATATACAGGGCGACAAAGTTTGAAATTAAAAACTGATTTTTTTAAATAATTCGAGTAATTGATAAGATACTAAGTTTAAATTCGGTACACTACTTCAACATAAATAGTTACATTTTTTGAGACCAACAAAACAAAAAAACAATTGTCAAATAATCAAAATAGGGGGGTCCAGTACTCACTGACTCCCCCTATTTTTTAGTACGTGCGCCAATGACTTCCAAACGGATTTTTTTTAGGTAATCATTTATTGTTGAAAATGTTTTGTCTCTTATAAAATTTTGATAAAATGATTTGTTTTAGGGATAATTTGTAAAGTATGGGTCAGTCCATATCAAATTTTCAAAATTTAATTTTTTTTTGAAAAAATGTAGGTCATGTGATATATCATAAAAAAGTTCTCTAATAGGCCTTTAAAATAAGCCATCACTCACCTTTCTACTTTTAATAGTTTACGAGATATCGCTATTTTTGTAAGTACTTGCTAGACCCAAATTTATCGGAATTTTTTGATTTTCAAAAATCAATAAAACAAAAACCACCTATCGAAAAAAATTCATATATGGGATTTTTGAGTTTTTTAGTGAGGTAAACAAATTTACCAAAAATGATCAAAATCGGAGATGGTGGGGGAAGAACCTTTGGTTGATTTGATATACCATATATGGACTGACCCATACTTTACAAATTATCTCTAAAACAAATTATTTTATCAAAATTTTATAAGAGACAAATTTTTTTTAACAATAAATGATTACCTGAAAAAATACCGTTTGGAAGTCATTGGCGCACGTACTAAAAAATAGGGGAAGTCAGTGAGTACTGGACCCCCCTATTTTGATTATTTGACAATTGTTTTCTGTTTTGTTGGTCTCAAAAAATGTAACTATTTATGTTGAAGTAGTGTACCAAATTTGAACTTAATATCTTATCAATTACTCGAATTATTAAAAAAATCAGTTTTAAATTTCAAACTTTGTCACCCTGTATATCGAACATGAAGCTGTAAATTGAAAAATGGTATTATGAAAGTCTTATTGTTTTAACTCAAGGAATATATGGTTAACGGATTGACCTCCTTTTCCCGGACACCCTGTATTATTATATTAGAATTATAATAAACAACGCCAAAGATAACAGAAAATTCTAAACGAAAAGAATTTTTTTTAAACATTTTGATGAAATAATTAATTTGTGCAGCATAATCCAAAGATAATATCTTTGGCCTAATCCACTAAATAATTTTGCCTAACACAATGTAGCCAATTATAAATTTAGGGTCCCTAGAATTTAAACCCCCAAATTTTTAACGATGTCAAATTCCCAATAAAAAACAAACTTTTTGTCAAACGTCAAAATTTTCTTGGGTGACTATGATTATCAGTACACAAGAAAACTTTGACAATTAAAATGACAACTCAGCAACATTTTCCGTGGCTTTCTATGATGCCAAACATATGTCAAAAGCACCAATCATCTATTAGCAAAGCACACTTTTGTGATCTAAATATAAAAAACAAAAACGCGTGCACACAGTAAAAACCGAAGGTTACTGCGATGAAAACAAATTGCTGATGTAACCTAACCTATATCCCACACAGGAACAAAAGAAAACAATTATATATAAATATAAACACAGCCTGGATGCGTTTAAAAAAGGTCCTTTTGAAATTAACACAGACAAGAATGTTGAGATACTTAAGGAAAAATGTTATGTGAACAACAAATTTAATAAAAACACTTCTTAAATGCATGATAATAATGACATACCTTCTTCTGGATACTCTCGACCACGGTCTGGCAACGCTGTAGGTAGAATTTTGGCTTATAACACTGCCAAACGAATTGAAACTCAAACTGGCGTTAATTGTATCCCCAATCTGCAAAAATCACAAAGTTATCCCCACAAAATGTGACGCATTAAATACACAATAAATACCTGTCGAAAGTGATATTTTTCCTGCTCAATGCTTGTTTCCACCTTCGTTTGTTTATTTCCCATGTAAAACGACGTGCAATTGTTTGTTTTGCGTCGGATAAAAACACAAAAACATCTCTTTTCTGGATGCAAACTCCCGAAACGAAGGTTCAGAACCTTTTGTCAATTTTTCCCGATGTTGGCCAAAACACAAACCATCTCTGCACGTACCCTCGTCGACCATCTCACTCGCACTTGTTTATTTAAAAGTGTACAACAAGGACGAAAGTTATGACTTTAAGGCGCTTTCAAGTTTCTGCGACGTCATTCGTAGTTGCAATGTATATGTTGGGAGGGCGCCACTTCTGCAAAACTGAATAGGCGAGTTTTTGTGGTATAATTGGTATCACCTTAAAAATTCAACAAAAATCGACTGTTACCGTAAATAATCAATAATAATTATGACTATAATATATTACCACGCGTTATTTATAAAAACTATGAAAGCAATCATTGAATTTAATAAAAAAATAGTTTTTTGTGACGTCACTTTGGGGCTGGTATTTTGAACGTCAAAAAATTGTTGTAGGTTATGGGCGAATGTCAATTTCATTAATGCAGATTTTAGATAAAATACCTATAATGTTAATGTTGTAATGATGTTTATATAGTGCGAATATTATTATTATCATTAATAATGGATAATAACATTGAAAACGACAATGGTATTTTTCCTGTTTATAATTGTGTATTTCTATAAAATTACGTTATTTTAAGGGGGAGATAGCATTGGTAATCAATTGGAATTGGAAAAGAAGAAAATTCAGTATGAATTTAATATGCAGAGAGCTAAAATGAAGGAGTTATTTTTGCAAAAAGAAGGTATGTAAATTAACCTATTCTATGTGTATTATATCTTGTTTTGTAGCTGAATTGCATAGAAAAACCGATGAAAATATTGATTTAAAGCAACAGGTGGATAAGCTTAAAAGGGAAGTGGATGATATAAAGAGTCAACTAACAATTGATAGCATAACATTGGAATCAAACTTTGAAGTGGAAAAAAGAAAAGCCAATGAAGAGATTGCTTCCCTGCAACGGGTCGTGCATGGTTTGTAATGATTTTAGTCAATATTTAACAATAATACTTTGATTTTTACATTTTAGATACTGTCGAAGAGTCTAGTTCGACCAGGATTTTGTATGATAATGAGTTGCGTAGATTGGAGTATTACATAAAGCAATTACAGGATGAAAATGCTGATTTGAAGACGCAGAAACAACAATCGCCGCATCATCAACCTCAGGTAAGTCATATTTTATTCTTTGAAATGTTTTTTTTCATAATAATTGATATAACCCATAGATAACAAATCTAACCCTGTAAGTTTTATTGCAAAAGTGAGTCCTAAAGTCCGAAAAGTCGTTTTTGTGAAAATATTAATTTCATAACATACAAAAGTGTTCTGGTAAAGTTTTTTACCATCAATTTTCTATTCTACCAATCATAAAAAACTTACCTACCATCAATGTGAACCAAACACTGTCAAAAAACTAAATATTAACACAATACTGTTTCCTCCCATAAAATATAAATTCACAGATTATACAACTTACCGCTAAAATACAACCGGTTTTCTATATTTATATCTTGGGAAAAAACGCAACCACAATTATTTGAATCATTAATTTGTATTTAATTTATGTTTTAAACATAGTTAGTTCCCAATATACTTACCTATGATATACACTTATATCTGTTGAATGTTAAATATGCATAAACATATTATGTGTCACATATTTTTATATAATAATGTCAATTCATCAAAATTCTAAATTCTTACTAGTTAAATAATTGATTAACCCGAAAAAATGGGTTAATATTAGCATTGCAATCTACCACTTTTACCGTAAATTATTCTTATCAGTGCACCCAGCAAACTAAAATGGTTATTAATTTAGTTCAAAGTTGATTTTTTGTTGTGTTAAACTGTGAAAGTGATAATAATGAATCATTTAAGGAATATAAAGGAGAAAAATATTTTCAATAAGATATTTACAGAGGTAATTCCATAAAATCGTTTTTTGTAGACATTTTTTGCTGTAACATGAACTATTTTTGTACAATTTTATTAATATTTACAATAGTTTATATCTTTACCTATCTTCTTTTTTACGTGAAAATTTCGCATCAAATACAAATTTGCAAAATGGCCCTCACATAAAACACCGCACAAATTTTGTGAACAGCAATTAAGTAAAATATAAATTAATACGAATTTTAAAACAAAAAAACTATGACACCATTTAACAAATATTAAAAAAATTATGGTTACCACTAAAATAAATGACAAAAAATATTAGAAAAATAAACTTTTGCTCAAAGAATTTATTTAGGAGTCGTACAAGCGGCTATGCCAAATTCTTTATAAGTACACAAAAAATTAGCTGCATATAAAAAAGTTATAAATATTTATTTGTCGCGCAGCATGGCTAAATCGCAGTAGCCCGTACTTGCCAAAAGATTTACGAAAAATCAAATAATTTATTAAAATAATAATAATATATTAATTATACGAGAGATTAAGCAGGCTATTATTTGAAAAGATGAGGTTTGCGTCTCGAGACGTAAATAATGAATAAGGCGCATTACCTCGAGTGCAATACTATGCTTTTTCTACTCCAATTATGTATTTTTTATTAATAACAAAATTTATCATTTCATTCCTTTATTTCTATTTTAAAGATTATTATAGTTGCCCCTTGTATCTTTTTAAAATTTTACTTAATTACCTGTAAAGGATTTTGCTTTATTACCTCTGCAAAGGTTACAGTTTTCTTTTGACAAAAATATTTTATATAATATATAATATTTTTAAATTAAATATTTAAAAAGTTTTCAAAAAATGTATTTAAAAAAAAAATCAATCATTTGCGTATTGTAACAATTCCCTGGTTTACAAACGTTTTATTACGGAATTAGGAAAATAAAACCATTCACTTGGTAATTTTTGTGTGTGCCAGTTGGTAATAGCTTAAGGCTGGCGCGCACCGTTCAATATCATTGATGGGTCACCGTCATTTTATATTTGACGTTTTTTTTTGTTATTTTGACATTTCGACGGTAAGCATCGTTTGTTGCAGATTATTGTAAATAATTTTATAAAATAGGTAGTTAAAAAGTAAGAAAATATATTTACTTGTAATAAGAAGGTTATTGCCCAAAACGGTGTTTTTTTGACCATCTAAAAACGCATCAAATAAATAAAAACCTTAATTTTTTTTTATTTAAGTTATTATGCTTAATAAGTATTACTTATCATAGTAAAAAATAAAAAAATATTTATTTGTATTTGTGTGTACAAGGAACGTAAATGTAAATAATTTTGGATAAAAATTAAAAAAAAGGAAAATTTTTGATTGTTAAAAAATTTTCTCGAAAAACATTTTTTTATTTTCAGGAGCACAGCAGCTTGGCGCCCAGTGTGGTCCTGAATGCTCTTACAAAAGGGATTGCGAAAAAATTGGGGGCCGAATCCTTTACATCACAAGACGAAAATTCACAAAAGGTAAGTGTGAAATTAGTACTAGCATTAGCTATGATAACGGGTGAAGGGTCAATGGTCAAAGAGGAATAAAATCGGACAGATTTTCGCATTTATAATATGTATAGATATGAATTAGTTTAAAATGATTCACATTATTCCTTTGACGTTGTTAGATACAGTTCATTTTTTTTATTTGGAGTCGTGTTTTTTTATTAAGTTGGTAGCTTACCCAAGTAGCAAAATAGGTTTTTTTAAGGTATACAAGGGCTTCATAAAACTACTCTTAAGGGTAATTTGCCTTGCTTAGTTAAAACCTATTTGCTTTAACAGCAGCTATAAAGCTTCGATATAACCATCATAGGGCTAAAAAGGAGAATCCTATCGCTGTCCTTAGGAGCAATTTGTGTGTCAGCCACAAAGCAATTTTGCTTTATTGTATTACTCCTAAGGTATACCTTACAGCAGTCATAAAACCTACCTTACAGCTGTCATAAAACCTGCTAAGTGCAATAGGTTTTAAGGAGGTAGTGTGTTTTTATCGTAAACACATTTTAGCTGACAATTTGTACTTATTGATATACCTTTTTACTTTATTGTTGTACTTTGTAAATTCCATATGGCTTTAATCAAATACTTGTTTGGTATATTGTTGCCTTATGGAATACTAATCTGTTTCACAAGCATAGGCCATTATTGATTTTAAAAACTTAATAAGAAAATTATTATCTTTTGTTAACCCATAACTTTCGGATGCAAAAATCATAAACAAATACCACTTTACTGATAAAAGTTGATTGCCGAGACACAAAACGTATGATGCCCACTAAAATGCGCTTAGTTTAAACAATTTTAAAGGCTTTAGCTAAATTACTTACCCGATCTACATTTCGTTTTTTAAGCCATCTTTTATCGAAAAAATATTCTCTAGCATTAACATGCTCGTAAAAACCAAATTTTTTGAAATTTTCTAAAAAATATTGTCTATTTGTATTTTAGATTAAAATTACCTATTTCATTATGGCGGAGCAATATTTTCTAATTAAAATGGCGGTTTCAGTTATAAAACAATGTACTCTTGCAAACAACTGCTAAAAAGTTTAATTGCTTTAAAAAGTGTTTACAACTATTTGTTAAAACTAATAAGCCCTATGACTGCAATTTTCAAGGCAATCATAAAACCAATTGGCATTTTGTGCGAGCATTTTAAAACAACTTTGCAGTATTTTCATCAAAAGTATCTCCATCAGGGCTATACTGCTTTGTCAGATGATAACATAACCTAAAAATTGTCAAATGTTTTTTATTGTTTCCGAAGGTTCGCCATCTTCCGAAGTTTCGCAGTCTTCTACAGCATTAATTGCTGTGATAGAATGATGCGGATTTAGCTCTTTGTCGGAACAGGACGTTGAAGGAATACAATGATTTTTGTTTTGCCAACAACACAGAAGAACAACTTTTAACAGCTCTTACAGTGGCCAACTTTGTTTTTCTATAAAAATTTCCACTTTTTTTAACTTTTAACCACTGCTCTAAAAAATTGTCATGCATGGCGGCGACATGTTGAGAAGAGTTATTTTCTTCGGGATTATCAAGACAAAAACGTTTTAAGAAAGAAATAATAGCAACAAAATGGTTTACACTCATGCAAATTTGCAAATTGGAAAGCAAATTGGTTATATTAAAGACGTATTGCTGCTCTACTAGGAACAATCATAAAACCTTTTTACTGTTTGGTTCTGTAACATTCTTACATAGAGGAAAAGTAGTCCTAAGACCAAATGCTCCTATTAGTCGGCTTTAACAGATGCATTAAACCCAACTTTCCGAGCACCATTAAAACCAATAGGCATCTGATAAACCTTCATAAAGCTTATTGGACTATAGGCGTTTGTTAGGGCCAAGTTGCCCTAAAAAAGCATTATTGGTTAACAGTAATAAATCAATGTTAAGATCAAATGGTTATAATTGCAAAAAGGTTTTAATACTTTACTTTAAAGTCGCTCATAAAGCCTAATCATAAAGCTTTATTATCCCAAGACCAACTAGGACAAAGTAGAGCTGCAATAAAACAAATAGCAAGTTTTCATGCATTTATAAAGCTTTCATAAAACAGTAAAGCATTATCGGTGGCAACCCTTTGCTACTTGGGTATGCCAGTTTGATTTAGTATTTTTAGTATTTAAAAAATGGTACTTCTTCTGAAAACCTTAATTAAATACTCTGACACTCTCAAATTGACAGTAATATTTATTATTGATAATTGAGGCCTGTCATAGCAAAACCGACAATCTCCACTTTTGGTCAAATATTAGATTTTTGGCGGAGACTATACTTCAACTAATTATCTATAAGATGATAAAGTTTATGTCACAGCAATTCATATCAAAGTCAACAATCTCCAATTTATAATTATAGATTTCACCTATACTATGCATCCTGGAGACCTTGTAGTTGGCTACTAGACTAACAACAACAATATTTCAATATAATATATAAAAAAAATTACAAATCTAGAATTCAATTCAATTCAATTTATTCAGTTTTAGTCTGATGGGAGATTGTTGACTTTGGCCTCATATATAGTTTAGTTTGTTTTAATCAATGCAATCAATTTTGGTTCCGTATTTACCAACGAAACCCCTAAATTTGAAACGTTTCCGCAGTCCAGATAAAAAAAATGAACTTTACATGCTTTTATAAAAGAAACTTTCAGTATAAAATCGTTGATTCACTCAACGACAAAATATTGATTTTTATCTTCCTCCCCCAACCGGACATGTTAATCTCGTGCTGCGTTTTAATAACCATGAAAACAAACGATTAAAATTCAATTAACTCTGCCTTCAGTAACCTGTCGATACGTTTTAACTTTATAACGAACTTTGTCGCCATGGGCTTAGGCTCCATGGTTCTCGCATTATTTTGCAGACAACAAAATTTTAATTCACACTACGTGCACCGTTTGCGTGTTGTAAAGTCGCATTCATAACAACGTTTTAAAATATCGCCCGCATATATGCATGTATGTAACACAGCTGATAAAAAACGGTCTATAAATATTTATAGTTGTTGCTTTAGTTAATCTACCTGTTGTTAAATTAAAAATAAAACGTTTATTATACGCTTAAAAATTTTAAATTATTGTCTTTTGTGTCTGTAATGTAAAAAATAACGATTTGACGATATGTATAGGGTGAGTTTTCTCTTGATATTTGATCTTCTGGTCAGTCTCAAATAAGGTTTTAAAATTTCCGTAAAAATTAGGAAATTTTTAGAAACATTGACATTTTCAGTTTTTAAATTTTATTCAAAGGGTAATACGAAAAAATGCAAATGTCAATTTTTCTAAAAATTACCAAATTTTTACGGATAATATCCGTACACTGATATCGATAAAAAAGATTATAATCATAATTTTATAATATAATAATTATTCCTTTTATTTGAATTCAGTAAGAATATTCTACCGGGCCGCAAAAAAACATATGAGGAGCTGTATTAATAAACTGGGGTGACAACAAAAAATTATTGTAAAAGTTTGAGTCCATAAAATTAATATTAAGAGGTCTATAATCGCAATTTTTAGATTTTTTTTACCTGAGCGAGTTTTTCTCTCAGAACTCCCAAACCATCGATTTTGACTTAAGAATATTTTTTGAAGAAAATTGAATGCTCTACAAAAAAGTTCTGATTAAAATTTCAAGTCAGATGAACCGTTTCCTTACAATCATGCCTTAAAAGCTGGTATAGTTTTACAATTTGATCTTTTAACTTTGGAATTTTGTAATTCATGTAAAAATCAGTACCCGAAAAAAAACCGATAGTTATTCTTATAGAAATAATATTAATAATAATAAAATACTTTATTCATCCCAAGAAACAATGTGAACTTGTTTATAGAGGGACTATATACACATTACATATTTAGTATTAAATACAATTTCAAAATTTGAACCTAATACTATGACTACATATTACCATTATCACATTTATAATTATCACATTTTAGTCACAATCTGTACAGATATACTAACAAAATAAATAAACTTATACAATATCACACTTATGCTTATTATAACATAAGTACATATGCTCATACACGTCCATACCTGCAATTGTGTGGTACATGTTGGATACATGCATCCAACATACTCCACAAACATTTATATATATACCGCACACAAGTATTTATCTTGGATGAAAGAAATTTTTTAAAGCCTTAACATTATTTAAGGATTTGACATCGTCAGGCAAGGTGTTATATGTAATTAAGCCTCTATACAATATAGAGTTTTGTCCATACCTGGAGCTAATTTGTATCAAGTCTAAATTATTAACGTTTCTGGTGTTGCGGCTATGTATTTGATTATTAAACATTACTTTTAGATTAGACTGTTTTTTATTATTTAAGACATTCTGTATAAAGGAACAAACTTGATATTTATAGATATTGTCCAAAGGCATAATTTTAAAGTTTCTATACAAATCCTCTGTATGATACCTAACGGGTAAGCAATAAAGATCTGTGATTGATTTATTTTGAAGTGTCTTGCTTGGTTTTAGTATTTTGTCATGTGTTGAGTACCATATGGCCGCCAAATATTGAAGATGGGTGTGAATCAATGCATAGTAGACTGATCTTAAATACTTCTTAGGGAGTGAATCATTTAATCTGTGTAAAATACCTATTGGGCCAGATATTTTTTGTCTTATTTTTTAACGTGATCGGAGAATGTTAATGTTTCATCAATTATAAGACCTAAACACTTTATATTTGAGCTATACTTTAAAACACCACCCTCAATATCTAACGGTCGACTACTTGGTATTTTATGCTTGTATGTAAACACCCAAATAGCAAAATGAATTCATTATGAATTCACTACGAATTCACGCGTGAAAATTAAATTCACGCGTGAATTCATATAACGCGACAGATGAGTCCTCAATTGATGCTCAATTTGCCATCACGCGTGAACTTTTTATTTTTTGCGCATGCGCTTTTAGAATATGGATTTCAT